GGTAAGGAATCCAAGAATGGGACAGTTGAGAGTAAGTTTTCAAAGGAGGACTGTTCAAATTTACTGGACCTTACTCCATGATATCTCTGCATTTGACAGTGTGACCCTGTATCAAATAAAAAGTTACCGATGAACTTTCTATTATTTTTATATAAAAGCAAAAAGCTTTTTAAACTAGAAAAACTCGAAATAGTGTTTTGTAAAGCTATAGTTGTTTCTTACCAAGCTTAATTTCAGACTTTAATTTAAAATACAGCATTAAATCAATTTCAAAACTTTTTTAAAGAAGCTAATTCCAACACATTTTCACACTGTATAACATGTACTCTCTTCCCTTGGAAAGTAGCACCCTCTTCATTGTCCTGTCTTTATATCAAATACCCTCCAATCCTTAATTCACTATCATCTTTGTGGAGGGATGAGGCTGGGACACACTCTGAGACAGGACTTCTTAATCCATAAATTCCTTAACCAGTTGGAGGAAAGGTTACCGAATGAAGTGAGACATTGCCTAGAGCTTCCCCCCCTTCAGAGCTAAAAATGCTACCTGACAGCCTGATGAGAGAGATCTGGACATGACTACTTCTAAAAAGGATTCTTAGAAGCAATTAGTTAATATTTTTCCTGTATTTTTTTTTTTGACAGAGGAACATCCCTCAGCCTGCCTTTTCACTCCACTCTAACCCCCACCATTGGTCCAACATACAGGGCCAAATTCTGCCCTCAGACATACTAGTCCTACTGTCTTCAGCACAGATTTTGGCCCTTAAACCTTGAATTCTTCAGTATTCTCAACACCACCACCTTATTTTTCACTAAAAAAAAACATTTAAATTGTTTTGATAAAAAAATTAAGTTTATGACCAGTAACATCTGGACCAGAAAAAAAAATCCACCAGAAATTCACTACTATGCAGACAATGTGAATGTAAAAATGCCTTTTTAATTGTGCTGGAGCAGCTACAGCTTTCATTAACTGTCACTTGTTCCTCTGACCGCTCTTAGCATTCTAATTTAAAAACAGAGAGTATAAATTGAGAGAATTTAATTCTCCCAGATTTAAAAAAAAATATGATAAAAAGAAGTACGCAAAGCACTATGGAAATTTTGACCAATGCAACACAGGGGTCCAAAACAGACAGGAGGTCAGCAAGCCTGGTGAGTAGTGGGGAGACAGAGTATTAGTAGTGATCTCTCTGTTTAAGAGTTTTTAAAAAGATGCCCACTTAACACAAGAACAAAAGATATTTGGACTCTATTTTTCTGTTTATTTGTTTTCTTGAGCTTATTTGCTAGAATATGGAAAGTGGTGCTTAAAATGTAAGCAAGGTGGTTAGGCCAATGTCATATACATACATTGTTTGAGAATTGCTGGAGGGGTATGACTTCATCATCCACCAAGCAGATGGCTCCTTTCAGAAAATTCAGTTCAAAGCCTTATTATTTTTCTTGTATGCCTGGTGCTTGCTTTATTATGATTATATCTTGCCAACTTGCGTGACCCAAAGTATCTGGGAATTGATTGAAATAGAGTTGTGACCTTTATAAAAGTGACCTGAATTCACCAGTATTCTGTTGTCATGCTGTTTTATATTAAATGTATATGCTCTGCTGTAATACAATTGAAGTTTGCTTCATTGACACCATTTGTGTACTAACAGCGCTCTAGAAAAAGATAACTGTACAGGGTGGTTTGTCCATGGATGGCAGATACCAGTTCTTATGCACACTTAAAAGAGTTCAGTTGTGTTCCAAGTTGACAGATATATCAATTTTCTTCAATGCACAGATCATACTAATCGCCTTTAACATATTGTGGGATTGTCATGTTGCTTTCCTACTGGGCAATGCACTGATGTTGTTTCTCTTTATATTCATCATGAAAGCTTTTATGATCAGGCCATCAGACAGGCACTTTGACCCAATTAAGGGCATACCTACATGCTATAATCTGTGAATGAATGTAACCTGCCTTCAGAATTATCCTAGGAGGGGGTTTAGGGTTTACCTAGACCAGCTAAAAGGACATCTGTCTTGTCTACAGTGATATTTTAATGCCTGGTAGCTAATAAACATTATACATTGTCAAGGTCCTTGTCCTCCTGAGGACAAACAATCTTCAGAGCCTGGAGGTTATAAAACTCAAGAAAACAATACAAAACATTTCAGTCCAAATTCACTTCGGTTAGCTTCTGGGAATGGATTTGGCCCATTTTGTTTAGGTTTTAACTACAAATATTTGTTTTGTGTTCTATTTTCCGTAATTAAAGTAGCAAGCTAACACAGGTAGACCTTAGAGAATTAGAAGTTGATTCCAATCCTTTACCTATATGAACTGGTCTCTGTAGCCGAGCAGTCACCCTGCTCTGGTCCTGAAAGGCTTAAAAGCCAGCCTTTGGAGAGGGCTGGGGCTGAGGGCTAATAAGAAGAGGTTGGGAGGCAGCCAATCAGGGCCAGGCTGGGCCCTATAACAATGCTGCTGGGCCAGGTGGCAAAGAGTCTCACTCCAGCCTTGCAGTGGAAAGGATCCAGCTGCCTGGGAGCACAGGGTACTTGAAGCAAAGCAGTGCTGAAGAAGGGCAGGCAGAGCTGAGGAGCTCTGGCCTGATGAGTCCCCAGGCTGAGGCCTTGCTGAAGGCCAAAGGAGGTACTGAGGCTGCAGGGAGACAGTTGGACCAAGAAAGGCAGCAGGTCCAACCCCCTTGCCAATGATGAGTGGCCATCACAGTCTGCAGTTTGCCCCAGAGAACGGGGGCTAGATGATGATTGGCAGTAGCCACTGAGGCAAGGTGGGTATAGCGCGGGGTTCCCCTGGGAGGGGAGACTCAGAGTGGGGGTACTACTGTGGGCAGAACCCCAAGGGAAAGGGGAACCAGGGTCCAGGAGAGATATGGGGCCTGTGACAGAAGGGACACTGGCTAGCAGGAGGTGCTCTGGGGCTGGAAAAGAGCTAATTCCCAGACTGACCTGCAGGAGGCGCCACAGCAGTGAGTCTGCAATCTACATTCTCCTTTTCACTAATACATGGCAGGTACTCATATAATTTAACTCAGTAGTGAGAAAGAAGGGCATTGGTCTTGTGATATAGTTTTCATGCTATGCTCAGTACAAACAGTAAACAGGCTGCTCAGTTGGGCTGTGGGACATGATCTGATAATTGCTATCTAGTTCTTCATGTACACTTGTCCACTTCAGAAACTTTTGTAGCCACCATTCCAGAGGAACGTCCATGCTGATGATGGGTTCTGCTCGATAACAATCCAAAACAGTGCAGACCAACGCATGTTCATTTTCATTATCTGAGTCAGATGCCACCAGCAGAAGGTTGATTTTCTTTTTTGGTGGCTTGGGTTCTGTAGTTTGCGCATTAGAGAGCTGCTCTTGTAAGACTTCTGAAAGCATGCTCCACACCTCATCCCCCTCAGATTTTGGATGGCACTTCAGATTCTTAAACCTTGAGTTGAGTGCTGAATCTATTTTTAGAAATCTCACATTGGTACCTTCCTTGTGTTCTTAAAAAACAAACAACATGTGCTGGGTCATCATCCGAGACTGCTAGAACATGAAATATATGGCAGAATGCACGTAAAACAGAGCAGGCGACATACAATTCTACCCCAAGGAGTTTAGTCTCAAATTTAAATTAACCCTTTTTTTTTTTTTTAAAGAGTGTCGTCAGCATGGAAGAATGTCCTCCGGAATGGTGGCCAAAGCATGAAGGGGCATACGAACATTTAACGTATCTGGCATGTAAATACCTTGCAATGCCAGCTGCAAGAAAGTGCCATGCGAAAGCCTGTTCTCACTTTCTGGAGATATTATGAATAAGAAGCGGGCAGCATTATCCCCTATAAATGTAAACAAACTTTTTTGTCTTAGCGATTGGCTAAAAAAGAAGTAGGATGAGTGGACTTTGTTTTGTTTTTGAGAGCAGTTATGCAACAAAAAAAAATCTACATTTGTAAGTTGCACTTTCACAATAAAGAGATTGCACTACAGTACTTGTATGAGGTGAATTGAAAAATACTATTTTTACAGTACAAATATATGTAATAATATAAAGTGAGCAATGTATACTTTGTATTCAGTGTTGTAATTGAAATCAATATATTTGAAAATGTAGAAAAAATTAAAAAATATTTAATTTAAATTGGCATTCTATTGAATACCAATTATTCTGTTGGTAACAGTGATTAAAAACTGTAATTAATCGAGATTAATTTTTTTTAATTAATCACGTGAGTTAACTGCTATTAATCAACAGCCCTACTTATTTTTAATTTGTATTGCATGATGCTCCTTCTGGTAGCCTCTGAGCCCGTCAGATATTGAAGTAGAGCAAATATTTAAAATGGTGTTCTCTCCAATTAGAGACTAAACTAATATACTAAATGATCTGCATGACAAATATGCAAATGAGGACCCGATTAGCAGGTTTTCCTTACGTTGTGCCCTGTTTGACCAAAAATCAGGCTGTCACACACACCATTCTAGGAAACAATTCACACTCCACTCACTCCAGTATAGATTTTGGTGTCTAGTTCTGGATAATATAACTTCAGAAATGGACAGCAGAAACAACGCAACAGATCTGAACTGATATGTAGTGTCTCAGGTAACTGAGTTCAGGGCTTTAAAGATCATGACCAAAATATTGACTTGTACCAGAAGCATATCAGTTATCAGTACTGTGCAGCTCATGGATAGAGTAACCATACATCCCATTTTTAAGCTCTGTCCCTGATGTCATGACTTTTTTTGGCAACACTGGGCATTGTCTCGTTTTCTCTTGCCAGGGAGAAGGGGGGTACAGAGGAACAAAAAGGCATAAATTCCAAATTTTGCCAAAAAAAGTCACGGTGGATTCTGGACAAGGGGCCCCCACGTGTCGTTAGCCCAACCTGCCTGTCGTTGCCGCTTAGCCGGTGTCCCATTTTCAGTTTAGGGAAATGTGGTCACCCTACTCATAGAGCACTGGTGTAATGTATTCTGTGACTCACCTCTCTGAGATTGAACCATTGCATTCTGTTCTCTCGGAGGACTGTCAAGGGTAGATCCAAATAAAGCCCACTCCAGAAATTCAGTCTGGGAGGAACAAAAGCATAGATCATTGTGTCAAAGTCCATATCGAAGAGGAGCAATTGTTTTCCGGCCAGCCTCACCTGCGGGGAAGAAAAAAAAACACAAACTAGTATGAGCCACCGCTACTATCTGAGAACCCAGAAGCAGTGACAAGTCAAGTATGCCTCTAGACTCCAAAAGCTATTGACAAGACCATGTTGCATTCCTGCACTAGAAGGAACAAGTGTCTCCCTTCCAATTCCCTCACAATGCTTCCCCTCTCCAGCCAGCACCACTTTTGGCTAGTCAAGAGGTGAACTCTAGTCAGTTTGCCCGCATCTGAATCCTCAGATCTATCAGACACTGGAAAGCATAGAATCCACAGTCTCTGGGATCACAAAAGGGAGCTACGTATTCAAATTTGTGAGTGCACAAATGTTTCAGTGAGAGCTGTAGCTATTGGTTACTCCCAGTAGTTCATCCTAAGTGAATAAAAGCTGCCCACAGAAGCCTAAGTTAGGAGGAGATAAGCCATGGAGCAGCAGTGTGATTCTGCTTCAGCTATAAACACAGAGTTTTGCTCCTTATTTGTAAGCTTCCATTGTGAATTCTCTGGAATTCTTCATGTTTTTGGTATTCCTGCCTATTTCAGCACTGAGTATAGGTACAATTTCCTGTGGTTTTAGAATGAGATACATGGACTTGTCAAGATGGCAGTCAAAATTCATAAGACAGGTAATATCTTCCAGAGAAAGTCCATTTCATGTTCTTGTGCCTTTTGAGTTTCTACTGAATTATCTTTCCAAGGGTGGGAAAGTTTGTGATATGGATCACAGAGCAGAGAGCTGCGTGCAGATCCCAAATATTTGCAGGGAAAGCAAAGAGCCATCCTGCTAATTCCATCCCATTTCTGTTAACTGACTTGCACTGTCCAAATTACTACTCACCTCCTTTTTAACTTCATATTTCCATATATAGCTTGGAATTCATTAGAAGCAGAAGCTAGCTGCTCATAGAATTTCAAAAGAACTATATTTACAAAAGTGTTTTGAAGAGCACTTCTACAACTGCTGGCAAAATAAAAGATTTATTCTATTCTTAAAAAAAAAAAGAGAGAGACAAGATGTAAAATTTAATGTTACCAGCTGCCTGGTCCCCAATAGAAAATTCAACCTCAGAAATGGTGTCTAACTCAGTTTCATTTACATTCTGAGAGAATGTGCATTATATTGTTTTGTTTCTATTGTGTAATGCACGTGCTCATTGCCTGAAACAATCATTGTACTTATGATTTAAGTGCCAGAATTTCCACACATGCCCCACTGCACAGTGACCTTCAAAGCTTTTCTGTCATGTAAATAGTATTTTGTCAACCACACAGAGAGCTGCTGTTGAGAGCACTGTGGAATTAACAGCTGAGTAAAACTTTTAATGCCCTCTAGTGTTTCTCACTTGCAAATAAGAATGTATAGTCAGTGAAAAATTTCACAGTAAGTTATTTGGATTTTCAAGTCCCTCTGTGTATATTGAAAACAAGCCCATTGTAAATAAAACCCTGTCATGCAGAGTAGGAGATTTAGCAAAATAGCACTAGATTGATACAAGCTGTGGAATATTTTAAGTTTTTAGAATTGAAGTGTTGAGAAGCCAAGGGTAGTGAAACATTTTAGCTTATATTATGCTGCCCCAATAATCTATATAGTCAAGACCGTGTGTCCTTCATGACAACCCAGATCTTAAATCTGTGCAAAATGACTGAATTCTGAAGCACTCTCCTACAGACGTGAACTTCTGTGGCAGCTTCATTTACATTAAAAATTTAGGTTTCAGAGTAGCAGCCGTGTTAGTCTGTATTTGCAAAAAGAAGAATACTTATGGCACCTTAGAGACTAACAGATTTATTTGAGCATAAGCTTTCGTGAGCTACAGCTCACTTCATCGGATGCATTCAGTGGAAAATACTGTGGGGAGATTTACATACATAGAGAACATGAAACAATACACACTGTAACCAGAATGATCACTTAAGATGAGCTATTACCAGCAGGAGGGCGGGGGGGAGTGTGGAGAGAAACATTTTGTAGCGATAATCAAGGTGGGCCATTTCCAGCAGTTGACAAGAATGTCTGAGGAACAGTGCGGAGGGTTGGGAGAAAGAGGAGGGGGAGGAATAAACATGGGGAAATAGTTTTACTTTGTGTAATGACCCATCCACTCCCAGTCTCTAGTCAAGCCTAAGTTAATTGTCTCCAGTTTGCAGGTTATGTTTAGAAATCAGATTCGCCTGAGTAATTGTTCATTTATTTTTGTAGTTTTACATGGCAGCAGTCAACATAAAAACCAATGAGTGTCTCAACATTAGAAATTGGAGATACCTCATGAACACCAAGGGAAGTTTTCCAATCCATTTGATAGAGGCACTACACAGAATTAATGAAGTTTCTCCACTTCACTCAGTCCCTTAAGAAGGATGAATTGAAAAGAGAATTTATTTTAAACTGAAGAACACAAAGCTGGGAGATAATTGCCTGGATCATTTATGTTATCCTAATACATCAATACCTGGACTGCTTAAACTTCAGCAATAAAGCTAAGTGTGTAATTACATACTATTTTTAGCATAACTTAGAGTACCCTGGCCAATAATTTTACAGGTGTTTTTAAAGCAGATAGTGTTACTGAGAAACCTGTTCTACTGCTAATGTCCATACATGAGAAGTGGGCACAGAAACTAATGTACACGAAATATTCAGTCTAAAAGGTGATTGACCAAGGCGTGAAAAAATGGCAAAGCTCCCATTGACTTCAACAGAGCTAGTATATCACCAAAGAGGTGGGGAAATCTAATTTTTCTAACAGGAAATGAAGCAATAATTTCTGAAAGTCTTCTATTCTTTGCTGAAGCAGAATCATTTACAGATCTGGGGGGAATAGCTCAGTGGTTTGAGCATTGGCCTGCTAATCTCAGGGTTGTGAGTTCAATCCTTGAGGGGGCCATTTAGGGATCTGGGGCAACTATGGGGGATTGGTCCTGCTTTGAGCAGGGGGTTGGACTGGCTGACCTCCTGAGGTCCCTTCCAACCCTGATATTCTATGATTTATTGAATGTGTAATTTTAAACCCTTTTAATTTAACATTTTCTGAAACTCCTCAGATTTATGCACTTATTTTCCTTTCTAAAACCTATAGATCTGTTTTAATTTTAGGCCTGTTAATCATAACTAGTAGCCTAAACATATTTGCTTTATAACACTTTCTATTCACCAAGTACAGATGGGCTCAACCCTGCAAATTACGCCTCCCTGCCCCATCTTGGCCTATTACAGTCACCAAAGATCTGTGAAGTGATATTAGCATTGCCTGCCTTTTTGTAGAGTTCTGTTATTGGAAAGGGGCTTTAATCTTTTCTGGGGTGGGTTTGACTTCTGGACTGTTGGGTGGTTTGTTTGTTAATACATTCTTTTCTGATCTCGATTTCATTAACTATTGAAGGGATACTCTTATAAGGTTATATTAGTAAAAATATGGTTATTAGTTGCATCTTTTGGGAAAGTGCTTGAAACTGCTGTTTCTTGAGACTATTGTGTGTATATTTAAAAAAGTATAAAACATTGATGTAGAGTAAGATCTATATATGTGAACTTGATACATTGACCTAATTCAATGTACACATAAAAAAAAAAAGTTATGTAACAGTTGGGTTGGGGGGTTCTTAAGGTTACCGCTAAAAGAACAATACTGTTGGTCAGAATTAAGGTTGTGCTGTGATGAAATATACATCATTATACTTGATTAGAACATAGATGGTCCAAAAAAAATATAAGCAAGTTTCACAGTTAAAGCATTCATTCACATTAAGTGAATATGTTTTATGTGAGAGGCAATAATGTGATCATTACCCCTTAGCAACCTCAACTGATTCTTTAAACAAAGTATTTTAATATACCTATTTATTTTTTTACATCTAACTTCTTTTGTAGAGCTAAATGAGGACAGATTTTTTTTTAATGACTGGAACAAATCAGATTATTAAAAGGTGAAACTGGGGGTGGCCAAGCTAACACCGACTCCTTCAGAAACCTGCCTCATTCAGGATGAAACCACCTCTGTACAACAAGCCAGCACAAAGAGCTTGTGTTAGCTGTCTTTGGGAGTGAACTTCACCCTCACTGCACACCTAGAAAGATATACACAGTATCTAGGTAGTTAAATTCATCGGGTATAGTCTGTTTTCACACAGATATATGATTTGCCAATATTCAATTATTCAAAGTTATTTACAAATACACCTTTTCTAGAACACAAACTTAGTCTCTGAATTTATATTCTCCTTAGTGTCACTCAGTATCAATGCTTTTTTATCCCTTATATTATCTATCTAACCAGCATTTCATGACCAACGCAAGAAGGGCTGCTTAGTTCTTCCTTACTAAACTGACTTCAATTTTAAAATTGTTTTATATACTTTTGTATATTAAACTTTTCAAAGTTATGTTGTGATTGACATGGAGCTGCTGTATAATGATTTATTCATACTGATCTTGTTAGTGGGATGCTTCCTGTGATTGTTTTTGTAAAACAAGAAGTCATTTTACAAGAAAAATTTACAATTCACCTTTAAAAATTAAAAAAAAAATTTAAAAGTAGTGACCACAGAGTGAAGGGAACAATAGGTATATCACTGGTCACGCCATCTACAAAAAGGCAAATAAGGACAACCCAGGGAACTATAGATCAGTCAGCTTAATTTTGGTACCCAGAAAGATAATGGAGCAAATAATCAATTTATAAGCACCTAGAAGATAAGAAGGTGATAAGTAAGGCTACCATTTAATCACAGGTATTTTTAGTAAAATTCATGGATAGGTCACAGGCCATGATTTTTTCTTGCCTGTGACCTGTCCGTTACTTATTCCATAAATAGCCCTGATTGAAGCTTAGGGGAGGCACTGCCAGGGTGGAGGGGGGGCATAGCCCAAGGCACCAGCTGCCAGGGGTGGTGAGCACTGAGGGGCCAGCAGCTGCTCCAGACACCACCATGGCAGGGGAAGGGACCACTACTGGGAGCCGCTGAACTGCGACTGCTCCAGCTGCCCTCAGA